CTTTGGGTTTATGCGTTTGGGTTTTCTGCGCTTATTTCACGTTGCTATGGGTTTAATTACCCAAGCTTGAGGTTTCACTCGCAATAAACTACAATTCAATGCGTGTCTTCACATCGTTCTTCTGCCACAACCAACCACATTGGAATAGGACTCAACTATTATTCCATAATCAAAGGACCAACCTTTCAAAAGAGTTGCAATGCCTCTACTGAATGTTTCCTAAGAATCTATTAGAATAAAGCTAACAAAAAAAAAAACTTTCACGGCAGAAGACCATACATACAAGAATTTCAGCAATAACAATACTCGATCTACACTATGTACCCTTCAAATGACAGAATTCATAAACATAAACAACCAGTGTGATAAGAGTCTTTGAAAGTTCGTAAAGAAAAAAAATTTCAATGGTATGAAAATGAAATGTTTTGATTCATACTTACAAGATTGTCTGGGAAACAGAGAATACTGATGCTGGGCTGGCGAGTATGCTTTCAGATTCTTGGAATAGTCTGGGCGAAAATGTCGTGATACTGGCACAGGAAGACGATTGTGTTTCATATAAAAAACAGAAAATGGAACTTTGGGTATGATTGACGACTGAATATCGCATTCTTCGATGATTACTCCGTCTGCCGCTAAACGTTCTGCCAGCTCATTCATCGAATCTGACAAGCGCCAATTTCTAAAACTTATGAACATGCATCAAATCAGCAACAACATCACCAAGACTTCTCTACAATATATGGCAATTCTCATTTTCCAAGAAGCCCCCAATTTCGGGTTTCCTTTTTTTAGGAAATCGGAATGACTTTTCTATTCAGAGATTTAATTCCAAAAAGTTATCAACAAAATATACGAAAAATATATCTATGTGCGCAAAATCATTGTTATGAAATCCTTCAGCTGTTATGAAATTTCAAATTATACGAATGAAAAGATTACTTTCAGAATTCAAACAGTATTAATCTGTAAGGCCTACCTGACTGGTGAAGTTGAGGGCATGTCGCTTCCACGGAACACAGCATTGATGCGTCTTTTCAATTTCTTCATGTGAATTACTAATATTAGTAACAACAAAAGAATGAAGCATCGAATCGCGTACACTCCACTGCCCTAAAGGATCCCTTCACGTAATATGCGAACTTCTGCACAACGACACTCTTCCAATACTCATTTTCGCATATTTAACGCGGTCGTTAAACGACAATTCACAACAGGTAGGAAAATTTGGTGATTGTGGAAAAATGAGATTTGGATTACTATCCATTATTTGAGACGGATTTGATCAAATTATATGATGTGTAATCATAATCTATGCGACTGAACTCGTCCTCTTGAGATCACGTGATTATCAGATATAGTCACACGTTTAATATCGCAACTTAGCAATATCACGCTATGCATTTTTCCAAATTAATAAGGAATAAAATGAAACCCTCACCCACAGTGTCACTAAAGGCTCGCTGAGAGGTAGGGGGATCAAAATTATGATGACAGGTTTGCAAGATCATGCTGTATCAGTTTGTCTTTATTTTTGAAGCAAAAAATATGACTTGCTTAGAAAAATACAGTTTTACGATAAAGGGGGAAAGGACTGGAGATTATAGGGGATAGAGTCAATAAACTTCACTTTCTACTATACCAAGAACATTTCTAAGTTTTACGTAGCATTCTGTGATATATGTTTTGCAATTTCAGATTTCCCTAATGAAAAAAGGTTATTTTTCAACTAGTTGCTATTATTCATTGTTCTGATAACACTTGTTTATTTTTAAAGAAATCAGACAGTAAGTTAATTAACAAATTAAGAATGTATGCAATATTTATTATAATATTTTATTTCAACAAATGAAATTAATTGCATGGAATAGTTGTACTGATTATTTCAAAAAGATTTTTGAATGTTTATTACATACATACTGTGCTAATTTGTGTCACCGCTATGCGGAAAAATGATCCTATTGTTGATAATAAACTGTAACCGTATTACACTGAAATTTTCTTTAAATATATTGAACCAAGAATTTTGGTTGTTTATCGAATAAAAGATTACATTATGCTAAACAGTTACGTTCGGAAAACCTTCCTTCAAAATTGTGTAGAAAACAATGCTACATTTGATATTATTTGTCTGATGATTTTCATTTATAATATCAAACGACTGGATGTTATTATGAGTTTGACAGATCTGAGTTCACTTGCTAAAACACAAATTTATGCATCACTCTCCATTGATGATTAATTATCATCAAATCATCTGAACAGACGAGGAAACATCTTGCTTGCTAAATAATATAATGAATCACTGATATATATTATTTTCTTTAAACTGGAAATGTTGACGGAAAGATTATTATATGAAAGTTTTTGAATTCCTAGATTAGTAGGGCAATGAGTGGCAAAATGTTGGAGAGATACAACAAAATATTGTAAACAGCAATAAGAAGAGCAGGGAAATCGAACACAACCCACATAATTTCTTCGATCGAAGGTTCATTATTTCTCTTACTGCGCTTAAGAAATTCTCCAAAAGTTTTAGTTCGAGCTTTCATTAGCAAATTTTTATTAATTGAAGAACAAGTGTGGAAAGAACGACTGAACGTAGTACTTGCAAAGCAGATCAGATGAAAAAAAAGCGAAAAAAGATCAATAGTATATTATTTTCTGATTGTTTTCATAGGTTTAAATATTTACATGAAAACTTGTTTTTATACAAGGCGATTAGTATGTTACTGATGTTATTGCTTTATATTTGATATAAATATTAGTTGACAGCATCGTCGAACAAACCTACGTCATGAGATTGAATGAATCCTGCACATATTAAGTTTTGATTTTACATTTTCGTTGACGAGCTAGAAAAACTATAACAAAAAAAAAAAATCATTAGAGTTGTGACAAACATTAGAGTAAAAGATAGAGAGCGAAAAATAAATAGTCGGCTATACTTACTGCTTGGTATTGCAAAACACGATTAGAATGTCATCAAAAGTGGGCTCAAAGGATTATTCGAAATTTCAACTGTCAACTTCTCCTTCAAGTAGGTGGCCTGTCTTCCAATATTGTAAATTTTTCGAGAGTTCCTTCAATCTTCTCTCTTTTATCGATTAAGTAATGAGACTATTTGATTGTGATAAAAGAGGCAAAAATAATGTGCACAAAAGTTATCACTGTATAAATCCCTGAGCTGCATGAAAATCTTTATTTCTAATTAAAAATTAGCAGAAATCAAGGCTTATGAAAGTAATCATATGGATGATTATAGTGGAGGCGGATTGTCCGATAAATGTTATAACATAGTCTTTCGGCACTGGAACGAGAATGGAAAATAATTATGATAATGGTAAAGATGAAAAATATTTGCAACAGGTAGACAATGCCAGCAGATGAATCATAAAGTGATAAAGATAACTGTGATTCGATTACAAATCGAGTTGTGGCGATTGGTTGGCTGCACAATGGTGTTTGATATCGGAGTGGAGCGAAAACGGATCAGAAGTGATAGGACTTCTTGTTGGTGGATTCGATTCGGTTCGACTCAAATCTTCTTCACCTGACAGCCGTTATGGTTTAGGCAGTCTCTTCTACTGTGAAGATGCACAAAAATGGGCAGAGAAAGGCGTGGTGACAGCAGCTGGGTCACCAAAGTGGATGAACTATCAACGGTCGGGTTCCCCGTCAAGTCATCTTGATTGTTACCATCACCACTGCTGCCCATTTCAGATACTAATTTCGCCAGTCAGCCCTTCACAAACATTTAGTGTGAGGAATATTCTTCGAAGAAAGGAACGATCATCGCAATCAGTTAACGGTACGCATTCAAACAAACATTATTAAACTACAGAATTCTTGCAATTCAGTGCCACGAAACGATCTTGCCAGTTCTGAATCACATGTCAGATCAAATCTAAGAGAGTTAAAATGAGCTTACTGTGCCTGATTGTACAGTTTTTTCTTCAAATGTGCAGTTTTGTTAGGGTTGAAAATATAGTTGACATGTAACAACTTTCACAGAAGAATTATTAAGAATAAATTTCATTATCAATGATTTCATTTTGGTTTATGATGGCTTGTGGCAGGAATGACTCCTATTAGTTATAAATAATTCAAGGAAACCTTAAAAGTTATGTTTGCTTTACAACTGACAGGTTTGAATGTGGTGGAATCAAAACGATAGAGATATGGAAAGCAATTCACTTCGTTTTTTCCCTTCTTATTTCTCTTCACAAAGTATTAAAATATGCAGTAAATTTTTAATAAATACATCAATGTTTAATAAAAAAGTTGCTAATTAACAATTTCCTTTTCCATTGATCTTTCCAAACACTACCAAAAAAGCTGCTTCTCTAAATTAGTTGTTTTCATAAGGTACTACTTTATAACCAGATTCTCAATTATTCTTTAAACGTTTATTTAGATAATTTGAAAACGCAACTCACATGTTTCCTCACTGAGAACAAGTTTTGAAGAAGGTGTAAATAAATGATGATTTTATCATTTTATTTTTTAAAATCTGTGAAACATGTACCCAGTGTTAACATTTCAATTATGCATAAAAAATGTAGAGAATTTCTGAAGTTCTGAAAGGATATTTCAATAAAAATCGTAACCAAATACTAAAAATTTGATGACCCAAAATATCAGTCAAGTATCTTCGAAGAGGTAAGGTTTATAAGCTTTGTTTTGAAAAGGCTTAACATACGCTCAAAATCTGCACAGCTAAAATCATACAGAAAACCATCTGTAAGATATCGAAATTAAAATAATAGTCAAATAGTATTTCAAAAAAATATTAAAAACAAAGAAATGGAAATTAAAAAGAAAAACCTAATGGATAGAAAGACAATGAAGCCAAATGAATAAAAAAGTTTCTTATTGAATACTTACAGCCATTTAGCATATAATTGATAAGACTATTTTTTGCATTACAAAAAAATTAAAAATGATTAATCTGTTCAGAACAATTCATATGTCTAAAAAATTTATGAGTATCTTGATTGTAATTTTGCTACACGTCCGAGCTATTCTTTCACTCACTTTAGTTCAGCACTAGAAAATCATATCGATACCCGAACCGACCATTCTAGATGCTCGTACGATCACCGTATTAAGTTCATATGATCACTCATTTAAGGAATACATTCAGATACAATTAGTGGCTTATTTTTAAATTCGATGGAGTGGATGGTTGTGCAAAAGGAAAAAGAAGTGGCAACGAAAAAAAGATCGAAATCGAAAAATCTAATTGAAATCGATCTACATTATGTAAACGAAACGGACATCATATTTTCCCTTCTTGATTATAAAAAAAGAGAGGGTTGTATCTATTATTACCGACTGATCAGCTTATTTAGAAAAAAAATAAGAATGTTAGAGTTTTATCACTTATGGAAGGGTCTAGCCCATTTCATAGATTAAACTTCAATCATAGTCGATTAAACTAAGCTGACGTTAGATCATCGTAATGAGGAAAATTGAACTTCTAACTGCGATATACTCAAATCTTTGCAGTGGAGAGAAATGCTTTAGCACTTCTTAATTATTTCTATTGATGATAGTTTGTCGGCTCATCGTAATGACATTGTGGACTGTAATTAACAGAGATCAATGTTGTGAATTGATTTGTTTGATTTGATTTGATTTGGGAGAGCTCTGTTATTATGTGGTATAATCGAATCTGTTGGTGAAGGTTTTTTGGTGGAGAGATTTTATTTTTGGGTTGACGTTATAGGGTTAGTGTATTTTCTTGAGACGGGAGTTAATCGTTCTATTAGATCACGATCTGATGGATTAGGCTTGGATTCGTTATTTGGGTCGTAATCTAGAATGCTTGTTCCAGACACTGTTACTTTGATGTGGTGACTACGCTAACTGATGTGGTTTATTGGAACGGATAAATAGTTGGCGACAATAACTGAAGTTGACTGCGAGCAAAGCTACTAGAAGTAATAATGATGAAATATGGCAGTTGATTTGATGATAGTTGCAAGCACAAGCTTACGGATGTTAAAAAGAATGAATGGAAAAGGTAGCTCTGTCCTGGTATATTTGACTCTTTATATACTCAATGTGGGGCGGTACCAGGATGGTAGAAAATGGATTTAACAGATAAGCCCAGGGTCAGACAATGCCATGCTGGGGAAGAAGCGATTAGGACAAAGAGACTGTTGATTACTTGTTAGCTATATTTGTTTCACATAAAAGACAAAAAAGGCGTTATAAGGCATCTCTTAATGAATTATAGCAACACAAAGAAGTCATATGACAAGAAATTAAATTCGACAAAGACAAAATTATGAAATGCTCAGCTTAATTGTCAGAATAAATTTATATATTTTACTGAGGAATATTTCTCATGAATTTGATTTGATAATTTTGTATTATAGATTAATTTCGGATTTTCAACAATCAGTAGATTACAGTGATAACAGGAAAATAGCTTTTTAATGCTTTTATGATATATGGATAACACCAAAATTAACGTTACAATACTAATATATCCGTGTAACACCGTGAACAAAAAAAACCTAGTAAACAAAAAAAAATCTGCAGGAGTTATATTAAAATTAAAAAATGCTTTTATTTTTTTCTTATGACTGAAAAATAAATTCTCAATTTTTGTCTTTAGAAAAGTGTTATGTACACTCTAGATTCTCGAGTTTTGAAGCGGCATAATTTTTAATTGCATATAATCAGCAAGGGCAGGTTCTATAGAGTGAGGTAAGTCAAATTCATTTTTCAAACTATGATATAACAAACTGAGCCCGTAATAATATGCCATTGGAGAAAGGAATACAAGTATTCAGTCGCACGGTTGACAAGAGCACCATTTCAGTATTTCATAATTTGCAAAATGAAAATACAAATAAAATAAATACAAAGCAATTAATCGTGAAAGTTCTTGCTGGTATTTCACTATCAATGGCATACTTTTTCAACTCATTCAATCATTTCCATCTATTTTCATTATCTGCTCACAGTAAATTATCATAAATTAATCAAATAGTTGAAAACAGAAATAATATAAATGATATAACTGATAACATACATAGCGCTTCTTGTTTGTAAGAGAAAGATGAACGGAAATGTAAAAAGCGGTTAAGCAAAAAGATATATTCATTTCATTAGCAAAAAGTATGTCGTTATACTGTATTATTTAAAAAATGAATTTTATCATTATGAGACAGAATGAAAAATACTCTTCGGATTTTCTAGATATAGAATTCTCGGATTTCATGTTCAAAAACATTTTTTTGTATGAATCAGTACAGAAATCAAACTATGTGGGATGCTATAATATGTAGATAGAATAATGAAGAGAGGATTGAAATTGATTTTGTATTGTGAGAGGCAAGAGATATCACAAAGAAAAATGATATTATGACGAATTAAACTTTATTTCATCGATATGAAGACGAATTCTCGAAGTCAACTTTATTTTTTTCTCTTTTCTTCATTAACTTTCCGAGCTTAATTCAAAGAAAACCATCAAAAAAACCACCCAGTAACCACTTTTTTCAACTGTAAAAGGTTAAGCGCTAGGAAGTCTCTAATCTGTGCTTCAAATATCCTCCTTTACAAAAATAATGAATTGCACATTACTACTGATATAATAGTAGTAATAAGTTTTGCTACTTAAATAGACCTTTTTTCCACACTTGGTCTTTTTTTGTTATTTGCTCGATACAATCAAAGTTTATCTCTTGGATAAGTCTTAGATGCCAAATTGCATTACTTTGATATCTATATATGATGCAAATGCACGATATATTTTTTATCACTATTAATACGAAAAAAGACAAGCTGAATTTCAAAATATTTTAGCAAATAAACTAAAATATTTTTTACAACACTTTTTTCCAACTTTCTCATATTTAGCAACATTAGGGAAGTAATAGAAATTGTATCCGGAAATTATCAGCTATTTGTTTCCATTGAACTGTATTCATTTATGAAGATGAGTTTCACTTTATGAAAAATCTGTTTAAAGCAAAAATCCCAATCCAAATGGTTTTCGCATATTTCTGATATTGTTTGTGGTTCATCTTATCCATTTTTTAGCTGTTTTTGTTAATGCCTCTATGACATCTAAGCCTTATCAAGGTTTAAGCTAAAATGAAAAGAAAAAATCGGATCTGAGGAAAATACTATATTGATGAGCCGAAGTTGAAATATAGCTATAAAGGAAAATGAAGTTTAAAGAAAATACAATTATGATAATATCCCAGCCATTTAGAATGCATTTTTCGCTTTTGCAACTCTCACACTTCAGTTCATTTCAATAATTCTGATTTTTGCACAATTTCAAAATTAGGAACAGTAAAAGAAGTTTAACGGAGATTTATTCAATAATAGTTAATTTCAGCCTATCAAAAACTTATTCCTACTTATTTAAATTCACTTGAGCAACGTGAAATACGACACATCTAAGGTTCACTCATCGTTATAAAAAATTTATTTCTTTCTGATAACGATGAGTGGGCTTTAGAAAAAACAGCCTCAAGAACAGAACTTCAGTTTTAAAAATGATGGAGCGTGGAACAAAGCTGATTGGAGTGCATCCATAAATGATCTCAGATGACCGTAGTTCCTCCAAACACTGAACTTCTTGGTACATATATCCATACAAAAGTTTGATATTCCATATAAAAACTTAAGCTAAATTCCATTTTATTTTTTGGCACTTTTTAATGTATTAATACTACATCATCGAAAGGCAAGAGTTTGTATTCAAATTAATTGTGTGTTCAAGCACAGTAAAATATTATTCAACCCGACTGTCAACTACAATAGATACCATGTATAATCCAAGTTTTCACAATTCACTAAATACCAAA